AAAAGGGGAGAGAGGACCGACCCCTGAGGCACCCCACAAGTTAGGGGTCTAGGAGTCGACCTCTGTCCCCCTGCCAATACAGACTGCGTACGGTCGGTGAGGAAGGAGGAGAACCACCGCATAACGGTGCCTCCCACTCCTAACTCACCGAGACGCCGCAGCATGATACCGTGGTCTACGGTATCAAAAGCCGCTGAGAATATTATTTTATGTCACAATATTTACATTAAGATGCATAACAATTTAATGGTGCATATTGTACCAAGCAATTTTTGAAATCCAAATTCTGTGTATCTGTTTGTTTGAAGAGTCTTTCGGTTTTTTTTTAACTGTACTGTATATTGATAAGATTATATTTTTTACTAGGGGGATCTTGAAAGAAAGTTGGAATCGGCTACTAAAGCAAAACTACATTACAAGCAACAATGGGCACGAGCTTTGAAGGAACTAGCAAGGCTAAAACAGGTGTGTAACAAAAATAAAGTAAATGAATGCACAAGGAATTTCTCCATAAAGGGTGATAGGGATTGCTGGAGAAATCTAATAATTGATCTAGTTAAGCATCCCTGCTATGATGAATTCATAGAAGGCACATCAGATGTAGGGCTGATTATTCTTTTCATCAGTTTTTAGTTTTCACACACTCTGGAATGAAAAGTTTTATTAAATTGTACTTCTAATTAAAAAAGTTTTATTAGATTCTACCTTTCTGAAATTTCACATTTTATTTATACTCCTCTGTTGTATACATTTCTCTCTAATTACTGCTGTAGAGAAATTATAAGTGGTAGGATGTAAAAAGTGGTGGCTAAAGAAAAGAGGGCTTGCCATTTTTATTACTTAACTGAATATATGAGGAGAAATTTATCCAAGAATAGATATAGTTGTGCCTCTCAAAATATAAAATTTTAAATTCTAAAGAAAAATTATGGACAGAAGTCTTGATAACAGTAGCAAGAACATGCTTTCCTTCATATTGATGGAACCAAAGCTACACTCCACAAAATTATTTTTGAACAACTTATGGTGATATAGATTGTCCTCGACTTACAACCACAATTGAGCCCAAAATTTATGTTAAGTGAGACATATGTTAAGTGAGGTTTGCCCCATTTTACAACTTTTCTAGCCACAGTTGTTAAGTGAATCATTGCAGTTGTTAAGTTAGTAACACAATTGTTAAGTGAATCTGGCTTCCCCATTGGCTTTGCTTGTCAGAAGGTCGCAAAAGCTGTTCACATGATCCCAGAACACTACAACTAACACTAAATATGAACCAGTTCCCAAGTATCCAAATTTTGATCACATGATCATGGGGATGCTGCAACAGTGCTGTTGTAACTTTGAATGGTCACTAAATGAACTGTTGTAAGTCAAGGATTACTGTACTAGCAAAATAATGTTTAAAGTGTCCCATTAGATTTCATGGTTGGAGAGAAGAAAGTGCCTATTGACATCTGATCTGTGCCAAAACTCAACATAGAATGGTATATTTTTATGAGGTAAACTCTAATCTGGAGTATTGTGTCACTCATGAGATGTTTTGGTTACAATTCATATTAAAGTCAATTGATACGCCCAGGGCCATAAAATATGGAAATTGAAGAATCCTATATTATTATCCTGATTTGAAATGGTAATTTGATCATGTAATTCTGATGTGCAAGTGGACTTTGTTGCCTGTAATTTTGTGTTTCTGCACTTGTTAAACAAAGCAGACTTTCTTATCTGTGGTAAACGTATCTACCCTTTTGGAGATTATTTTATAGATACGCAAAATAGTGAACTGAGTTTTGCATGTAGATTGGTACTTCAGTTCTCATCATTAATTGGTTCTGGAAGGCACACTGAGTATGAAAAACAATGAATATCAAACAAATTTACCATAAGAAATAATGTAGTGAATCACAAGTCCGCCAACACCAACATGTTCCAGCTTATGCATTGAGTACCAAACAAATGATGAGTACCGGGACAAAACTTTCATGTCAAAATGGCATTGAGTACCAAATTTTATGAGTTTCAAAGCAGTTGAATACCACGGTACCACTATATATATTATTAACTGTCTTTTTATCTATGATCTTGTCACTCATAGTTGTTTGGCTGAACTAGAACTGCAAATAATGAAGGTCACTTGTTAGAAATATTGCAACACTAATTATCGTTGGGTGTGTTTGTGAAATACAATTTGGATACAGTGCTTACATATTTAAAATACTGCATTTTAGAAAAATAGGTTTTGAGCTACTGCTGTCTTAATTATTTGAGGGATTATAGTACATATAGATCAAGTGAGCTACTGCTTATTTTTTTTGTGTCTTCTCTGCAATAATGTGTACGGATAACTAAGGTTTATTAGCTGCAGAGGACATTTTCTTGTTCCAGTAAGTTTGTTAGCTTTATTTCAGCCATCAGTGCCTGAAAACTGCATTGCGTGAGCTGTTATACTTAACAGTATATTTTTTCTGGATCTAGTAGTATGCCTAATACCAAGACCCCCCCAACCCCGGAGCCGCAAACCGGTACTGATCCATGGCTTGTTAGGAACCGGGCCACACAAGCAGTGGTGAACTAAGCTTTATCTGCACATGCTCAGGATGTAGGTGGTATTTGAAACCATCCCCCTCCCCTTCCCCAGTCCATGGAAGACAATTTTTCTTCCAAAACTGGTCCTTAGTGCCAGAAAGGCTACGGGCCACTGTCTAGCACATAGTTAGCCTATTTGATGTAATTTTAACATGCAAGAGAAAGTGCAGAAATATATAAATATTTGTACGCTTAGCCAATTAAAATAAGTTTTTTAAAACTTCTGAGCATGCTTTTTTTTT